CTATCAAAGTCTACTAGCTTTCCAATATTCTATACATTTTGTCCTACTCTTTCTGATTCGGTTATCAGGTGTTATTCCTGTTCTTCTTGAGGGCCGCCTTATTGGCTGGGCAGCCACTGAATCAGATGCGAAGCGGATTGCTATGGATTTGCGTTTGATGAAGACCGATCCTAATGAGAAACGTGTACCAAGTAATCTGGAAATCATCTATGTGGCTCCAACAGAGGCTGCATCGCAGTTCCCTGGCCTTTTTCTCTTTGTTGGCAGCTCTCGACTACTCCGTCCCGTTTACCTCTTGGTTTCTGAAATGGCAGCATCACCTTCAGACACGAATCTTGGCGCAGATGGTTTCTTTCGTCGCCTTGAGTGGCTCAGTACCTTTGAGCAGGCCTATTTGCATGTAGCCGTCACGGAGGCGGAAGTCGCTCTTCAACCCATTGACCAACGCAGCCATCTTGAGATAGCACCCGAGGCGATCTTTAGTTTTGTTGCCGGTCTCACTCCTTATCCCGATTTTAATCAAGTACTTCTTTAGAATTCTGTTATTTGCTTTTTCTCCTTTATTTTTTCATTACAGCAATCCTAGCTACATGATTTCGGACCGAATTTTTGCCTCTAATTTAGTTTCACCTTCTGAATAATTGTACTTAATGGGTATACTTTACTGTCCACACTTCAAGGCCACCTTACTTAGACTTATATTTTTCGCCATTTTTACCTTTTTGCTTTTTCACCCTTCATAGCACTTATTGCCTTTATCAATGGTCTTTCTTTACCTGTAGAAATAAATATATTATAGCTAGATGGAAGCCATTTCCTAATTTCATGTCGATCTTAACTGAACTTCTTTCCTGCGACTGAATAGTTGTCTTGGCGAGATTTAAACCCGCAGGCCGTAGGTTGTGCAACCACTTAGCCACAAAAAAATCTATTTCTTGATGATCCTTCTTGTATTTATTGGTTGTGATACTCAGCACGTATTTGCCAAATGCACATTGATAATCTATTTCTGCAATCCTTGGCCCTCCTTTAGATAACTACAAAGAATGTGAACGGTCCAAAGTGGTTGGGTAAAAACGAAAATACATACTCCTTAAGTCTCCCTAAGAAAGGTCTGTTTTTGTTTAGCCTAAAATTGCTAAGAGTATATAGCCTATAAAGTCTTACTTTTTTAGTTTGAGTCCCACTGGGAAGTGGAAATAGAATTCCGATATGAATAAAAACGTTGTTTTGGGTTTCACGGCACAGTAAATTTATTGTTGCTAGAGAAATTAATAAAAATTGCCTTTTTTTCACTTATCGTCTATCACTTAGCCTTTTCGGGGCCATATTCTTGGGCTTGTGAGAACTTTTGAGTTAAGCCTTATTATCCAGTGAATTATGCTACATTTTACGGTAATGATGTCATTGGCGTTAACAAACTGCAAGGATATTCACAGGATAATCACGCCTTATCTTTAATTAATTAACGTTTTCTCATCTATTCTATCCTTTGGTGGGAAGTAACCTGCAGTATTTCCTCACTTTTAAAGCCTCAATAAGTTGACTTCAACCTTAAATATCGCGCGTTTGTGCGTCACGGAATATTGTCTAATCTCCACACATTTGGTTATCTTATCCCTAAACTTTGCTCTATACCTTTGCTCTCATTCTTCTTGTAGTCGCCCCGTAATATGTATCAGTGTCAGATGGCCAAGCAGACAATTGGTCACTCGTGCTACACCTGGCGGCATCGGGCAGACGCCAAGTCCTATCGTCTTCTCATCCCGCAACGCCCGTTGGTTCATACCAAAACCTATATAAAGTACGGCATGGACCACTATCCGTTAGGATTCAATGCCGTAGTAGCAGTGATGGCTTACACGGTATTTTCTTGTTTTTTTACATGGAGTCTCATTCTTTTGTAGATACCAATAGAAACTGGGTTTCAATTAATCTTTTGAGATAACATTGATGATGGGACATTAATTTCGTATGAAAGTGTATGAAAAAAATTTCGTAGGTCGATGTCACAATAAGAGAACGGCTGAATCCCGTTGTACTGCAGCCGTTTGGCTTTTAT